CCAGGGATGTACATGTTATGGGGCCCCTGGTAGTTGTGATGCAGAGCCAGGTTTGAGAACCTGGGGTTGGTCCAACCCCTTCACTGAACAGTCGAGAGAACTGATCTTGGACGAGGGAAGTGTGCTACCTATAGTCACACAGGAAGGAAGCAGCAGAGTGGAGATTCGAGCCAGGTGGGCCCAGCTGTCGCTAGACTGCACTCCTGGGAGAAAAAAGCCAACTTGAAAGTTGACCAAATCTCTGGACCCTGGAACTGATCAGAAAGTCACAGGCAAAAGATGGACTCTCTATATAAATATTTGAAATTTTTAGATAATTCGCTTCCAAAAAAGTAAAAATCCGTTAATGATAAAAAGTAAAGCATAGTGCCAGCAATACTTGCAGCAAATAAGACAAAGAGTCAATGTACTTGTAACATCTCTCTTACCTGTCTAACTATCCATCCAGTTCATTCAAGCCAATCAGGAAATCAAGGCTTTAACTGGCCAAATAAACAAAGGGCTTAAATGTGCACACAACACAATTATTAGTAAACAAATATTTAATGGAGAATGTTTAATCTGGTCAGTAAACTTTGAAATGTAAATTAAAGCAAGGTCCCATTTACACATTAGACCTTTTCTAAACTATATATTTCTATAGGTACATATGTGTATATTGACAGGAACGAACTGGGAAGGATACACATGGTGGCAGGGCTGTCTGATTGCCTCTTAATATTAAATTAACCATCCCTTCTATTATGCAGGATTGAGGTGGGGGAAAGCAGCAACGTGCTTAGTTTAAAAACTACATTTCCCAGGCTCCCTTATGGGTAAGGGTGGCCAATTAAAAGTAAGGTTATGTCATGGGGCAGGAAGCTCTTTAGATGGGGCTCATTTACCTGGGGAAAACTGCACTGTGGCCCCTCCAGCCTTTCTCCTTCTTGCTGCCTGGAATGCAGATGTGATGGTTGGAGCTCCAGGGACCACATTAGGCCAGATGGAGGCCTTAGGAATGGAAGCTATAAACTGAGGATGCAGAGCACAAAGATAGAAGCCTGGTTCTTCGTGACCAGTGAGCATGGGTCCACTGTGCTAGTCCTGAAATGCTTTGTCCACACTTCTTTTATGTGGAAGAAAAAGAAATAAATGTATTTGTTTAAGTTTACATTACTTTGATTTTGTCATATGCAGTTAAACCTAAACTTAACTGACACACACATCAAACCTCCGTGGAAGTGTAAAGGGAACTTTCACCCTTCACTTTCTGTGCTATGGTACTGCTTGCATTTGTTATCATTCTTTTTACAATAAGAAGGCATTTGTGTATGATTTGTATAAGCATCTGTTTGGGATCCCCAGAGAACTCGAGTTGAGTGCCAGCCCCACCACTTCCTAGCTATGTGACCTTGAGCAGTCAATTAGTTTCTCTGAGCCTGTTTCCTCATCTGCAAAAATGGGCATGATAATAATAGAACTTATCTCACTGGGTTGTTGTGGAGCTTAAATGAGCTAATGCAGAGAACACTCTTGGCACGTGCCTGGCTTACAGCTATTACTGTATGTGCTATATTACGCTACTGCGTTAAGCACTGGTGGTGGCAGAACCAACTAGAAAAGCCCAGGACATGTTGAGTAAAAAAACAGGTTGCAAAACTGGCACAAGTACGATCCCTTTTGTGAAAAATTATTTTTATTTCTTCATCTATATGCATATCTATGCATCAGGAGATGTGTGGAGGGATGGTTATCCAAATGTTAGTAATGGTAATTTCTGGGTAGTAGATCTTTTTCTTTCTTCTATACAGTTGAAAAAAGAGGAAAACATTATTATTTTTGAGTAGGAAAAGAAAAAAAGAAAAATCCTTTGTTAAACAATATTACAAATCACACCAAGAATTATTAAAGCCTTCATGCCCTTTGACCCAGCTGTCTCACTCTTGGGAACCAAGCTGAGGAAATAACCCAAATGAAGAAAGACACTCTATCCATAAAAACACACAGTGCAGCATTATTTGTAACAGAGGAAAACGGGGAACCACTTAAGTGACTTACATCAGGGTAATAATGATTAAATTATTCACTCATTGGAACACTGTGCAACAATTTAACTGAGAAAGATGATGCCCATGTAACAACACAGAAAAATGCTTATGGCCGGATGAGAGGCAGAAAGGGCAGAATGCAAAATTAGATCCGTGCCAGGAGCACTACTGGGCACAGAGCCTGCATGCATTTGGATGAGGGCTGGGAGGGAACACAGGCAGATAAAAACAGTTTAATTTGTTGGGGCCACTGATTGTGGGTGACTTTTTTCCCATTTAGAATTCTAATGTTTCTATAATGTTGTTTGTGTAATAAAAAAAAAAAATTGGCTTAAAAAAGCCCCCACAGGGAAAAGAAGGGGGAGCAGGGAGAGAAAGATAGAAGGGAGATCTGGTATTCTCCCAGAAGGGGGCTCTGAATAAGAGAAATTCAGGAGCGACACACTGGCAAACACTTCCAGTTTGGTCTTCTACCTGGGTGGCCCCAGAGGTTGCATCCCCTTTGCTCTCTGACTTGAGTGATCAGATGGGCAGAATAATTGCCAAAGTTAGGGAGACAGTATGTTAGCTGAGGCTAAAGGTAGGGTTAAGAGTGATCCTCAGATTGGAATCATTTGGAAAAATGGATCATGTTTGCTATTGACAAAATTATAATTTTGAGAAATGAGAATACTAGCAAGCTGGCAAAAGTGTGAATACTGAAGGCTGACTGGAGGGTAGTTTGGTATTGCATATCCAAACAAAGGATGTGAGTCTCCTGTCAGCAACCCACTTCTTGGGATTTATCCTAAACATAACAAAATTATCAAGTCAGTGCATAAAAATATTTACATAAGATGTTCATCACAGAGTTCATAAAAATAAAAAATTAAACCCTCAGTTTCACCAAAAAGGAAACGGTAAACTAAATTTTGGCATAACCATGCAGGGGTACGCTATGAAGCTACACTACAAAAACAGGATATAGCTACAAACTTGACATGAAAGGATGCCCAATACACATTAGCTGGAAAAAGAAGGCTCCAAAGAAAGATGCATGTTATCTCACTTTTGTACGATTGTATATCTAAATATATTCATTTGCATGTAAGGATTTTTGCTAATACACTCACCAGAATCTTAGCAGTGATTAATCTTTGAATGATGGGATTATGACTGTATGAGTCAGTTTAGTCTCAGTTATGCTGCAGTAATAAACAACCCCAAATCTTCTGGTTTACAACAGTGAATGTGAACTTCTCACCCCTGCTGCTCTTGTCTCAATGGTTGACTGCTCCTCTGCCCAGCATCTTAACTCTAGGACCCAGGCTGACGACACGATCTCAATCTGAACAATGCAGGTTTCTATGACAGAGAGAGAAGAGGGCGGACCACCTGCTGGCTCTTATAGTCAGTGTAGGCAAGTCTCTTGGTCCTTCCCACAATCAACAGGGCAGGGATTGATAATCCCCCACATGCCCTCAGGAAGGGGTACTGGAGGAAGGGTGGTAAACATTTGAACAATAATACAACCTACCACACAAGTTATTCATCTTTGTCTTAGGCCATTTGGCTGCTATAACAAAAATACCACAGACTGGGTGGCTTAAACAAAAAACATTTATTTCTCACAGTTTCAGAGGCTGGGAAGTTCAAGAGCACGGTGCCAGTGGATTCTGTGTCTCCTCTCCATGTCCTCACATGAGGTTAGGGAGCTCTCTGAGGTCTTCTTTTAAAAGGGCACTAATCCCATTCATGAGGACTCCATCCTCATGATCTAATCACTGCCAAAGCTCCACCTCCCAATACATCAGCTTGGGGATGAGGTCTCCACATATGAATTCTGGGGGGCACACTCAGTCGATAGCAATTTTATTATTCAAATCCTTTTCTTTGTAGAATGCAGTTCTGTCCCAGGAACTGGATGGTCTCATGGAGATGGGACACATGGGTTCTCACTGTTCAAGTCTCTTCAGGAGAGAAAACACAGACTCTGAGTCTGAGCTACCCAGCACCAGGCTGAGATGGCAGCTTCAAGCCTGAGGCATAGGGGCCAGAAAGAGGTCAGGATTTTGCCTAATTTAAGAGACAGGTCAGTGGACCTGGACCCACAGTAAGTATAATATAATGATGTAACAGAAAGTTCTGGATGCCCAGAAGTATTATGCCAGTTCTGCTGCTTACTACTTATATCACCTGAGTCAAGTTAGAGAGCCTCTTTGAATGTGAAATGGAAATTATAGCTGCCCTGCCTACTTCACCCTACTTGATGGGAGTTGGGTGGCTCAACCGTAGGGCTCTAAAATTGTTAGTGCTCTTGTACGAGGAAGGTTTGGTCTTTCAAGCTGTAACCACACACTCACACATATTACATTTCCTCATCTCCTCTCATCACCAAAGTAGCTTGTTAACCCCTTTTAATTGTGTTCGTGTGCTTTTCAGTAGGGCAGGTGAAAAATGACAATTGAAGCCTCAATGTGGAGCCTTCCATGGCTCATCCACCCTTTGATGGATGAGCCATGGAAGGCCTGGATGCAGAGGGAAGTAGCTGTGTCCCCCTCATTCCTCCTGACCCCAGTCTCTCAGGATGGAAGGCAGGAGATGACAGGGCTTCCCAAACTGGCCTGATCATTAGAGCCCTTTAGGAAGCATTTAAAACTAGATTTCTGGGCTCCGCCTCCAGGAGATTCTGATTCACCTGGGGAGGGTGGGACCAGGCTGAGTCACAGAATCTGATCCCTGCCACCTCCACCTGGCCCTGGCTCCTGTCCAGGCTATCTGCACAGGCCTAGTGAACAGGGAGGGCCTGAGTGTCTCAGGTGGCATGAGCCCTGGCCGCTGGGAGAAACCTAAGCAGGCCCAGGTTATCTGATGGAGCACCTGCTCCAGCCCCGTGCTCACTTCTTGAATATCAAGATTAGGGGAAGGCTTGGGAAGAGGCTCCCCTGGGCAGCACAGGTCACCCTGCAAGCTGCCCAGGGCCAGTGGCGGTAGTAAGAAAAATGTACTCCCCCTTTCTGCTCCCAGCCCCTCAGAGTCCGGGAGGGTCTTCCACAATCCTCCTGCACATCCTTACTGATAACCCTGAAACTTATCTCTTTACACATCTATCAACACGGTGGTGAGTTCCTCAAGGGCTCGGACAGGTCTTATTCCTCTCTGTGTACCCAGCACAGTGCCTGGCACACCAGTGGTGCTTGCTGAATATTTCATGAATAAACGAGAGGTAGTAACACTTACCACATTACCACAGGGTCACGGAAGGACTGATATTCACAACCACTAGGCACACGGGAAATGCACGTGCTCACCTCTGAGGGGTGGGGAACCCCATCCTTAGTCACCCAGCTAGAGGCTGAGCTGAGCACGCCCTGATTTGCAGCGGTACTAAATTACTTTTGGCATCGCAGTACCCTTTGATATGAAAAGTTATGAAGCCTTTTCACAGGAAAATGCCTTTATCACTCACACACATACACACACCCTGAATACAATTTCTAGGTTAAGAGTATCAGCTGTTCAAAAAGGGAAAGCTCTTTTCATATGGATGAATGCCAGTTAATGAATGCAGATGGAATGATAGAGTCAGAAACTAACATTTTGCAACCCTCAATCTAATCATTGATTTAGGCAGGTATCACTGCTGGATGCTAAAATCATTGGGTAAATAACTGTTAGGGAACAAGAAGAAATCTCAGCTTAGACTAAGCCTCTAGCCCCCAAGTCAGGATTGCACGCTCCACAAAGGAGCCCAGACAAAGGAGAGGACCACCATCAGGACAGACTCCAGAGGATCTTATTAGGTTACTTAAATAAGACCAGGTGACCATTTCTGCAAGTAACAGGCCAGGGGAAAATCAGCAGGCTCTGGGTCTTTTCTGAATTCTTCTTCCCTCCCATTTCCCTGCTTTCCCCACCCCTACCTTCACTCTCTTAAGGGAAAGGTTGCAGAGAGAGGGGGCTGGGGAAGGAAATTCAGGAAGATCTGTGAGGCTCCTGACACCCCAAACATATCCTGGTTGCCAAGAGACACGGGGCAAGGCTTGCTCTGACCTTTCCTTCTGTTCTCAGAGTCCAGCAGACAGCTGTTCTGGATTCACATATGGTCTGCCAGCATACTTCAGTCCCTCCTATGTCCTGTTCTATATTGTAGGGGCTGGAAGCTTGAGAGCGGGATTCCTCAGAATCTCTTGCCAGCCAGGATTTGCTTTAGAGAGTGAGAGGCACTCCTGGAAAGCACTACTCCTTCTCTGGCAGTGGTGGGCGCACTTGATGCCAGTTCCCAGACCAGAAAAGTCCTCCCACCCACCTCACTGTAGGTGGTCCCCTGGAGATGCCAGGGCCAGGTAATGACCAGAGCTGAGATGGCACCTGCTAGGGGAGATGCCTGTAGCATCAGCCCAGCTCCAAGCCCACCTGGGATACTGTCCTGGAATGCAGGGACATCTGTCACCCTCCTGGCACACAGGAGGGGTTTTTCTGCTGCCAGGCCTCCTGGAGTCGAGGTAAAAGGGTCAGCAGTAGTGAGTCCAGCACAGCCAAACCTTCCCAGGAACACCGAAGACCCCTAGAAAACCAAGAGGCCTGGATGTCACTGCCTCATCTTACCAATTTCAATGCCCACTGTCTACCAGTGCCACTGGCATCCACAGGCCCCTCCTCAGTCTTTCTCTACTTTCCCAGGTGTGTGATCTGTAGTCAGGGCTCCCTGGGATTTCTAATCACCTCTCCCCAACCCCCAAATACCTGTGATCCAGCAGCAACAGGCCCTGCTCCAGCAGCGTGTTCACCTCCTCACTTGCTCCAAACACATCCCACAGGGTCAGCTGGGGCTCAAACTTCTGCCAGTGCTGCGGAGAACAAAGGGTCAGAGATGCAGGAACCACAGGGTAGTAACTGATGGGGCTACTCTGGGCCACATGCCTGGGGGTGTGGTAAAGGGTGAGGGAGGGTACAGTCCAGCACAGGGATCTCAGCCAAATGACTCTCGTGCACACTAGGCCCAGGCCAATGGGCCAGCAGGGATGTGGGGACCTTCACTCCTCTGCGTTTAGGCCAAAACTCAGCTCCCAGCCAAGCCAGGTCTCCCTCGGTTCCTCCCCAGCCCCCCCTGCTCAGGGAATGGCCAGGGCTTTATAGCCCTGCCTTCATCCAGAGCAGCTCTGAGTCTGACTGATCATCCTATCCGAGCTTTCAGCGCTGCTTAAAAACACTTGAAAACGCTTAATCTAGTCTATTCCCCCACACAGCTGAGAAAACTGAAGTTCAGAGAGGTGAAAGGATGTGTACCCAAGGTTGCAGTAGAAGGGGACTGGAGCCTGGGTCTCTGCAGCCCTTGGTCTAGGGTTCTCACCACTGCGCCACACCGCCCACTGCTTCTGCCCATCAGGCCTTGGCTGCACTAAAGTCCAACCTCCAGCTGCAGCCCCAGAGGAATGGGAAGGTGTGTGTGTGTGTGTGTGTGTATGAAATGATTTTGCACGGCTTAGGAGGAAGCAGTGTGCCAGAGCCTCTTGACCCCCTACCTGGTGAGTGATCCCCACGTCTGTGCGTAGTCCCATTGCCAAAACTTCCTCCAGCCTGAAAGGAAAACCATTAAGAGGTCTTGGAGAGGAGACTTGTGCTTCTCCCAGTCTTCAAACCCCATGCTGGGATGTGGGAATGGGGGGCTTATGAGGATCATGCAGTATGGGGCAGGGCAAGGCAAGGAATAAAAAAGTGCACATGGAGGTGGTTCTGGGGGTGCAGGCGAACCCCGGGGAAAGCCCTGTGCTCTCCAATACTCACAGTTCCAGTTCACCCAGGATGAAGCGCTTCCGGGTGCCGTGGCCAAACAGCATCACCTCCCTCATCCAGTTGTCAGGCTCCAGGGTCTGGATCCGAGCCTCCCGAGCAAGGCCCCCGGCCCCCTGGGGTATAAAGCGCCCATGGGCCCCTGACAACATCAACAACCACACCCTTTAATATCAGCTAACACTGTGTGCCTGCTAGATGTTAAGCCAGTGGTTCTCAAAGTGTGGTCACTGTACCAACAGCACCTAATATGCTACAAACCTAAATTTTTGGGCCCTACTCCCACCCTGAACAATCAGCAGTTCTGGAAGTAAGGCCCAGTTATCTGGGTTTTAACAAGCCTCTGTGTAATTCCGATGTGTGCTAAAGGCCGCAAACCACAGTGCCAGTCACTGTCAAGCACCTCAAAAGTACACACACAACGGCATCTTTCTTTCCCCCTGCACTTTACATATGAGGAAACAGAGGCTTGGGTAGGTTAATAAGTGGCCCAAGATCACACAGCCATGACATTCCACTCCTGAGTCATCCTTCTATGGTTCACAGGGGACTCACCAGGTCCAACCCCAATATACTGACCACACTGCCAGTAAGTCCAATTGTGGGTACTAAGCGCCCCCTGTGGGGAGAGAGGGAGTAGTCAGAACAGGGCACAGCTGGCAGCCCTGTTCCTGCTCAGGTAAGGGGCACCCTGTTAGAATGTCCCTCCCCTCAGGCCTCAGAGCACCCAGCAGAGACCCTTCTCCCCAAAGGGCCACTTTCCCAGGCCACACCTCAGCCCGCCTACTCCCACCTTCAGCCATAAGCCCCAGGACTTACGTTCCGAGCAAAGTTGGAGACCTCATACTGGCGGAAGCCAGCCTCCTGAAGGACTGCCCGTCCCTCCTGGTACATCTCAGCAGCAAGCTCAGGGTCTGGGGCAGGAAGGGCACCCTGCTGCACCTGGGTGAAGAGGGCAGTGCCCCTCTCCAGGGTCAGCTGGTAGAGGGAGATGTGATCATCACAGTGGAGCAGCAGTTCCTCCAGCTGCCTGAGCCACGGCCTCACCTGCTGTGCCGGCAGCCCCAGCATCAGGTCCGCAGATACGCGCCCAGGGAATAGGCACCGGGCCTCTGCCAGTGTCCGCAGAGCATCACTGGCTGAGTGTGTCCGCCCCAGCAGCTGGAGCTCAGTGTCATCCAGGGACTGGGGAGAGAGGGTCCAGTGTAAGCGCACAGGCCAGCTCAGAGGGAAACAAAGGCACCTGACTGACCTTACTGTAGACAGACAGAGGTGAAAATATAGAACATGACAGGCAAGTAGAAAGCAGATGGTCAAGCCAATACCAAGGGTATACCATTTACTGAAGGGTCACTATGTTCCCAGCATTTTTATGCAATGTCTAATTCATCCTTATAACCCTCCAACATCCGCTCCATTTTACAGATGAGAAAACTAAAGTTGAGGTGTTATGTAACTTACCCAAGGTCATACAGTGGTAAAGTCAGACCTGGAATTTAGGACTGTCTGGCCCCAAAGCCAAGAGTCTTAATTTTACTTTTGATTTTGAAATATTTCAAACTTATAGAAAAGTTGAAAAAAAATTCAATGAACACCTTTATTTAGATTCACCAGCTAACATTTTGCCACATTTGCTTTGTCTCTATATAAATATACACACATATTATTATTACGTTGAATCATTTGAGAGTATGTTACAGACCAGCGCTGTCCAAAAGAACTTTCTGCGATGATGGAAATGTTCTATAGCTGCACAGTCCAATACAGTAGGCATTAACTGCATGTGCCTATTTAAATATTAAGATAATTTAAAATATTTGAATATGTTTTTATTGATTGAGAGAGAGGAAGGAAGAGAGAGAGGGAGGTAGAAACATCAATGATGAGAGAGTCATTGGCTGCCTCCTGCATGCCCCCTACTGGGGATCGAGCCCACAAGACTGTGAATCAAACCAGTGACTTCCCGGTGCATGGGAGGACGCTTAACCAACTGAGCCACACCGGCCGAGCTTAGTAGAATATGGTAGCCACTGGCCATATGCTAGTGAGCATTTGCAAGCTGGTTATTTAAATTTAATTAACTTAAATACTGTACCCTTTTACCCCTAAATCGTTAAGTGTGTACTTCCTAACAACAAGGACATTCTCTTATATAACCACAAGCCAATTATAGAGTTCAGGAAATGTGACATTGATACAATGCCATTATCTAATACATAGTCATATTCAAATTTGACCAACTGTCCCAATAATGTCTACTGTAGTAATTTCCTCTTCCCACGCCACTCCAGGACCCAATCAGGGGTCACACATTGCATTCAGCTGTCATTGTCTCTTTAGTCTCCTTTAGTCTAGATCCTTCCTATGTCTTTCACGATACTGACATTTTTGAAGATTATAGGCCGGTTGTTTTTCAAAATATCTCTTAATGAAGAAATTCTAGAGATCTTCTGTATATAACTGTCCTTACAGTTAACAGATTTTTAGTGTATACTGTATACTAAAAATTTAAGAGGTTAGACCAACCTCATGTTATCTGTTCTTACCACACATATAAAAAGTCACTTAATTTAGGTTTTCCTGAGGTTTCCTCATAATTATAGTCAAGATATGTATGCATTTGGGGCCGGATGATCTCAGAAATGATGTGTCCCTTTCAATACATCCCATGAGGACAAGGCTCTGACCCCAAACTCTATGGTAAGTGGTAAATGTATTAGAAATGGGAAAGCAATACTGGGTATGAAAACACGAGGGGTCAACCTGAGAGAAATATTTTTCTCCCTACTTAAAAATCTTCAACGGTTCCCCTGTAAACCACGAGGCAAAACCCAAATTCTCTAGTATGGTGCTGAAGGCTTCCTCCTCTCCAGCCTCTCCAGTCACAATGAATGACTCAGCGCTCCCCCAAAACATGCAAGGCTTTTCCATATCCTGTGTCTTTTCCTCCCACACCCTCTTCTGCGGTGAACTCCTCCGCCTCATTCCAACATCACCTGTCCGGGAGGGTTCAATGATTTCATCAGACTGAGATGCCCTTCAGTCCGTGCTCTGAAAGCCTTTTGCAGAGACCCCCTTTACCATGCTGCAACGATCTGACCACCCGTTTGTCTCCTCCTGTGTCTCCAATCATGTAGCAGATCTTTTCTGAGCATCTACTATGTGCCAGACACTACAGAAGTAGACAATTATATAGTTACAAAAGTGTCACCATATATTTTTCAGTACCTACGAGGCCCTGGCACCCAGAAGGAGCTCAAAAAATGTTTGCCCAGTAAACAAATGTGCCCAGAGGAGAGACAGCACTGAAGGGCTGGGTGCCCCAGGATGGGGTGGATAAGGTTGGTTACCTGGAGGCCAATGGACAACCTGTTGACTCCTGCTGCCCCAAATGCTGCCAGCCTGGAGGCAGGGGCAGAAGTGGGGTTGGCCTCCAGTGTGACTTCGGAGTCCGCGGGCAGGTGAGTTGCCTGGGCCACTGCCTCCAGGACAGCAGCCACAGTGTGGGGACTGGCCAGACTGGGTGTGCCCCCACCGAAGAACACAGACTCCACCCTGGGTGAAGAAGATAAAGAAGGTGAGACCTGAGGGAGCCCTCCGGGATGCCCGCAGCGCCTGTCCTGTCCACTCCAAGCCCCGCCTCCGGCCCCAGGACCCACCGCTGCACCCCGCTTAGTCGCAGCAGCGTCTGAGCCTCAGTCACCAGGCAGCTCCGCACCGCAGCCTCCTCCACGCCTCGGGGGATGTACTTATTGAAGTTGCAGTAACTGCAGCGTTTCTCGCAGTAGGGCCACTGGGAGGAAGGGGTGTTTGGAAGGGGCGAGAGAGAACTCAGGGCTGCCCTGGCCACTTCCAGGGTTCGGTCCCACACACCCCCATCCCTATTCCAGGTCTGTCAACAGTGGCTACGCCATCTGCGCCACAAAACTCCCCACGGCAGGTCGGACTGGGATTATGATGCCCACTTCAATGAGACAAAACTGAGGTTCAGAAGGGAGACCACACCGTCAAGGGTCACCGAGTTGGTGAGCACCAGGGACTTCAGGATCCGGGACTCAGACATTTCCCAGCCAGGGCACCGGCTCCCTCCCAAAACCTCGCCTGGGGGCGGGGAAGGTCGGCCGGTGGGCTCACGACTGACGAGTCGCCAGATGGGTTCCCGCCGGCGCGCCCCGCCTCTCGAGCTCGGCCCCTCCTTCCCACTCACGTGGACATAGAGCGCGGCGCGCCGGCTCCAGGTCGCAGGACTCGGCGATCTCCCCGCGTCCTCCACGAGGCGGCGCCTCTGGGCCACTTTGGCCGCTGAGGCCAAGGCCCGGGCCCCGGCCCGGCCCCGGGGAAGCGTCATGGTGCTCACTGCGGCCGGGCGGGCGGCGGCCTGGTG